TGTTGCTGCTGCAGTTGCTGCTGTAGGGGATAATGCTGCCATGGGGAAGAAGCAAAGGATGGAGAAGCAGTGGAATGTGTGGTACCCAATTGCTGCTGCTGCTGTTGCTGTTGCTGCTGCTGCTGTTGCTGTTGCTGCTGTTGCTGCTGCTGCTGCTGCTGCTGCTGGTATGGCTGGTCTCCTATTAATTCATCTACCCATAGATCTCTAATTAACTGCAGCAAATGCAGCAAAGGCTCAACAGCAGCAGAAGCAACAATAGAGGGAGGAAGAGACACAATAAGATAAGAAAGGAGACAAGCTGTCCCTTTATCTATTATTGCTGCAGCAGCAGCAGAATTAGCTAAAGATAATATAGCTATTTTATTTTCTTGTGCTTTTTCCCTTATTAATGGATCCATACAGCTACTACTACTACTACTACTGCTGCTGCTGCTGCTACTGCTGCTGCTACTGCTACTGTTGCTGCTGTTTCGTCGGCTAGTCGGGGGGGCTGCTGCTGCTTCTGCTGCTGCTGCTGCTGCTGCAGATGCAGCAGGTGTCGATATACTGCTGCATCCTTGTCTTGGTCGCTCCTTTGCTGCTGCCTCTATTGTGTCTGTTGCTGCTGCTGCTGCGCTATGGATGCTGTCTAGCCAGGGTGTCTCTGGTATAGCAGCAGCAGCAGCAACAGCAGCAGCGGCAGCTGCTGCTGCTGCAGCAGCAGCAGCAGGACCACTAGCAACACGAGAAGGGGGAGACCAGAAGGCTGATGCTTCTGCATAGAGGCCTGTAGGGCAATTGCATGTACGGTATATATTTCCATCATTAATTGCTGCTGCTGTTGCTGCTGCTGCTGCTGCAGCAGCAGCAGCAGCAGGTAGATCAGCACGTTCTGCTGCACCAATATGCGGCAAAGGAGGTGAAGGCGCAGGCTCTAGCAATACACCCGAGTTGCTGCTGCTGTCTTTGCTGCTGTTATGCCGCCTGCTGCGCCTATGTCTGTGCTGCTGCTGCTGCTGCTGCGGTTGCTGCTGCTGCTCCTGCAGCATTTGCTGCTGTCTTTTGTACCTTTGGTGTGCTTCTTGTAACTTTTGTAGCTGCAGCAGAGCATTGCCCCTTTTTAATATTTGCTGCAGTTCCTTATTCCCCTCTGCTTGCTGCTGCTGCTGCAGCTGCTGCTGCAGCACAACTGCAGCAGGAAGCAACCTACCTAGCTGCCCGTCACAAGAAATAGCTAAGCCCCCTATACTGCCTCCGCATGCACAGCAGCGGGGATCGCCAGGCAGCGGTACCCATAGCATCTCTGCCCCTAAGGGGACATATAGTTGCTGCCATCCTGTTATCTCCTGCTGCTGCTCAGGCTGCTCCTGTTGCTGCTGCTCCTGCTGCTGCTGTTGCTGCTGTTGCTGCTGTTGCTGCTGTTGCTGCTGTTGCTGCTGGTGGGGAGGAGGAGGGGGAGGATCGTTTACCAGCAATGGCATGCGAGCCCAATAGTCTGCTGCTTTGCTGCAAAACTCCTCTAGCCAAGGTGTATCTCCAGCTGCTGCTGCTGCTGCTGTTGTTGCTGCTGTTGCTGTTGCTGTTGGTGCTCCTTGTGACGCTCCTACTGCTGCTGCTGCTTCTGCTGCTCCTTCTGCTGCCTCTGCTGGTTCTCCTGCTGCTGCTGATTCAGGGCTGTACAATCCATGTGACGGAGCCTCGGTATGTGACATTGCTGCTGCCCCACCTTCAAAGGCACTGCTGCTGCTGCTGCTGCTGTTGCTGCTGCTGCTGTTGCTGCTGCTGCTGCTGTTGCTGACGCATTTGCTGCTGCTATTGCTGCTGCTTTCCCTTTCTATTCGTGCGTCGTGGGGGACTGGCGGTGGTGCTGTTGTTGACCCCAGAGGCTCTCCTAGACTCCCTGCTGCTGCAGTTGCTGCACTAGCGGCTGCTGCACTAGCTGCTGCAGCACTTGCTGCTGCTGCACTTGCTGCTGCTGCGCTTGCTGCTGGGTCTTGCAGCAGCAGACTTGCTTCCCAGCAGGAGGCATGCGCAAGCCTAGCCCCTTCTGTATATAGCTTTACCCCTTCTTCAATGTGCTGCAGCAGCAGCTCCTGTTGCTGCAGCAGCAGCTCCATCTGCTGCGCCTGCTTCTGCTGCTCCTGTGCATGCAGCAGCAACTGCTGCTTCGCTGCTCGCTGCTTCCGCAGCAGTAGCAGCTGCTGCCACTGCTCACGCTGACAAGCAGCACCTCGAGGGCGCAGCAGCAAGCAGCAACTCACCCGGCCGCTCCTGCTGCTGCTGCTGCTGCTGCTGTTGCTGCTGCTTCTGCTGCATGCATCGGGGGGCAGCAACTCCAAGTGTTTCTGCAGAGACGCTGCAAGGCCCTTCAAAGATCCACTGCTTCCTGCTGCTGCTGCGTCTGCTGCTGCTGCTGCTTGTGCTGCTACTGCTGCTGCAGCTCCTACTCCAACTCCTCCAGCTGCTGCTGCACCTATTGCTGCTGCCGCTGCACCTAACGCTGCTGCTGCACCTAACGCTGCGGCTGCACCTAATGCTGCTGCCGCACCTAACGCTGCTGCTGCACCAAGCGCTGCTGCTGCTCCTGCTGCTGATCCCCCTGCACTTGGTACACTTGCTGCTTCAGTTGCTGCAGTTGTTGCAGTTGTTGCAGTTGTTGCAGTTGTTGCAGTTGCTGCAGTTGTTGCAGTTGCTGCAGTTGCTGCAGTTGCTGCAGTTGCTGCAGTTGCTGCAGTTGCTGCAGTTGCTGCAGTTGCCGCTGTCGTTTCCGCAGTTAGTGCAGGCGCTCGGGTGTCTACGTTGTCTCGCACTGTTGGAGCTGCTGCAGCACCTGCTGCTGTTGCTCCCCTTGCTGCTGCTGCTGCTGCTGCTGCTTCTCGTTTCTTCTTTAGTTTATATCTTGATGTAGTAGGATGCATGCAAGGAGACAGCAGCAAAGCGGGCCCCCTTAGTCTCCGTTGCGCAGCACGTGCATGCAGCAGCCAATCCATAAGCCTCTGTTCCTGATTCCGCTGCTGCTGCTGCTGTTGCTGCTGCTGCTGCTGCGGTGGCGGCTGGCGTCTGCTGGTATACACATGCACCTCTGTAAACAGACGACCTCCAGGGGCGCAGGGATTTGCAGAAAAGCTGCTGCCTCCCTGTTGCGTGCAGCAGCAGCTGCTGCTGTTTCTGCTGCTGCTGCTGCTACTGCTGCTGCTGCTACTACTACTACTACTACTGCTCCTGCTGCTGCCCCTTCTGCTGCTGCTTCTGCTTGCTGCAGTAGGATGGATTGATGCCTTAGGAGAGAGGAGAGGTGTAGGGGGTCTACTATATACAATTTGCTGCCATCGTTTTGCTGCTGCTGCTGCTCGTTTTGCTGCTGCTGCTCTTGCTGCTTCTAAGATAGCTTGGAAAGCAGCAGCAGACTTGGAAGCAGATGCAGCAGATGTAGCAGCAACAGCAGCAGCAGATGCAGGTGTAGCAGCAGCAGCAGCAGGAGTAAGTAACGGATAAGGAGCAGCAAGAGGAGAACAAGGGCATGCAATTATTGTACTTGTTATGGTGTCTATACACCGCAAACCTATAACATCATCAGGAAGCACAAGCGGTAACTCTCCTGCTGCTGCTGCTTCCCCTTGGCATCTAATTGCTTCCTCTAGTTGCTGCTGCTGCTGCTGCTGCTCACGCTGCAACAATATATGCTTCTTATGTAGTAACTCCTCTTCATTCATATGCTCAGTCTCCTGCTGCTCCTGATCCTGCTGCTGCTGCTGCTGCTGCTGCTGCTGCCATGGGGTGCATATACACCTGGTGCGTTTCTCCAAGTGCTCCAACGGCATCTGAACATCCTGCTGCTGAAATAGCTGCAGCAGCTGCTTCTGCTGCTGCTGCTGCTGCTGCTGCTGCAGCTCCTGATGCAGATTCGTTTCTCGCCAAGGAGGCATAGGCTGAACAGTGTTTGCTCCACTCCGCTGCTGCTGCTGCTGCTGCTGCTGCTGCTGCATGAACTCGATGTATGGATCTCGTAGATGCCCGTAGTCTTGCTGCTGCTGCATGTGCTGCTGCATGTGTTGCTGCATGTGCTGTTGCATGTGCTGCTGCATTTGCTGCTGCATTTGCTGCTGCTGGTGCTGAATGCCGCCAGTTATAGGTTGATTTCTTTGTACATACGCTTGTTGCCCGTTGCTGCTGCTGATGCTGTTGCTGTTGCTGTTGCTGTTGCTGCTGCTGCTGCGTCTCCCTGAGGTGTCTATACACCGCAGCAACGCTGCTCGTGCTATAAGAGGGAAAGGGACATCTAATAAAAGGAGACGCTTATTAAGAAAGACGTTGCTGCAGCAGCAGATGCAGCGCAGCAGGGGAGCAGCAGCAAGCCATACATGCCACTGCCTATACACCCAACGGCACCATGCACCATCAATAGTATTACTTGGTGGTTGCCCTCTTCTCCTTCTGCTGCTGCTGCTGCTACTGTTGCTGTTGCTGCTGTGGCTCCTGCTCCTGCTGCTGCGCTTCAAACTAAGCCTGCTGCAGCGACTACCATGAAGCCTCCTGCTGCTGTTGCTGCTGTTGCTGCCCCAAGGGCTGCTGCCTCTGTGCCATCTGCGAAGACGAAACCCTTGCTGCAGCAGCATTACATGCTGCTGCTGCTGCTGCTGCTGCTGCTGAAGAGGATGGTAGAAGGGGGGCCCCACACTCTCGCTGCTGTGACCAACAGGGCCTTCATAGTGCGAGTAGCTGCACCATGAATCACGTCCAGGTCCGTATTGCTGCTGCTGCCGATGCTGCTGCTGCTGCTGCTGCTGCTGTTGCTGGTGTTGCCGCCGCCTCCGCTGCTGCTGGTGTGGCGGGTGCTGCTGCTGCTGCTGCTGCTGCTGCTGCATTTCTAGGTGGAACAGCGAGCTATGACCATCTCCATGAAACAGTCTGCTGCCATGGGTATAATAGTGTAGGTCCCCTTCAGGACTCTGCTGCTGCTGCTGCTGCTGCTGTTGCTGCTGCTGCTGTAGGGACATAAAGAGAGGGTGCTGCTGCTGCTGCGGATGCTGCTGCTGCTCACTGTAGGCCTCCTCCGGGTCCCAAAAGGGGCTGTACTGATGCCTGGAGCCTTCTGCAGCAAGGTTTAGCTGCTGCTGGTGCTGCTGCTGCTGCAGGATGTGCTGCTGCAGTAGGTGGTGCTGCTGCAACAGCTGTTGCTGCTGTTGCAATATGTGTTGCTGCTGCAGTATGTGCTGCTGCGGCTGCTGTTGGGGGTCTGCAGCGCTGTCTCTTCTGCTGCCGCCACTGGGCACCCCGCGAGGATGTACGTTCGTTGCTGCAGCAAATGCTGCTGCTGCAGCAGCAAACGGTTGGGAAGGGTCAGCTGCGGTTGCTGGTCCCCGTCTTTGCTGTTGCAGCGCTAGAAGCCACGAAGTTTGCTGCAACGATTCCTGCTGCTGTTGCTGCTGCAGTTGCTGCAGCTGCTGGAAGTGTTGTTGCTGTTGCTGCTGCTGCTGCTGCTGGTGTCTCTGCTGCTGCTGCTGCCGTTGCTGCTGCTGCCTCACATGCATTTGTTCCCACTGGTATTCCTCTGGCTGCTGAGACCCCCACTGCATGCTGTGCGCTGTCTCAGAAGGCTGCTGCTGCTGCTGGTGCCTAACTTGCGCAGCAGCAGCAGCAGCAGCAGCAGCACTGTGGGGTCTGCCATTTCCCTCTTGAATATTTTCTTGGATTTTCCATCGACCATAAAGACCTTCGCGACTTGCAAGAGACAGCAGCAGAGGATCGTGCTGCTGCTGCTGCTGTTGCTGCTGCTGCTGTTGCTGCTGCGGCTGCTGCTGACGCTGCTGATGTTGGTAGTCTGTCAAGCGGCCTGGCAGCTGCGCATGCAGTGGGAGAGGAGCAACAGGTGGACCTGGTGCTGCTGCGGAACCTCTCTCCTGCTGCATCTGCTGCTGCTGTTGCTGCTGTTGCTGCTGTTGCTGCTGTTGCTGCTGCGACTTCCTCCGAGCTTTCTTCTTTCGCTTACCCAGCGCTGGCCTTTCTGCTTCCTGCTGTGGCTGCTGCTGCTGCCGTTGCTGCTGCTGCAGTGCCTCGAATAAGTGCTGCTGCCTGCTATGTGCAGTAAGAGCAGCAGCAGCAGAACTAGCAGCTCCAGGTATATTAGCAACAGCAGCAACAGCAGCAGCAGCAGCAGCAGGTTCATTTGCTCCCCACTGACGTCCCTCAGGTTCCCCAGAGAAACCTAGCTCGCGGCTCATTGCTGCTGCTGCTGCAGCAGCAGAAGCTTTTCTTGCATGCGCTGCACCTGGTTCAGGTCTCGCTGGTGGTTCTGGTGTTTCTGTTTCTGCTGCTACTGCTTCTGCTGCTGCTGTTTCTGCTGCTGCTGCTGCTGCCGCTGCTTCTGCTGCTGTCTCCGGGGAGGAGCACAGCTGCTGCTGCTGCTCTAAGAACATCTGCAGGCGCGTGCGTCTTAGCTCTTGCTGCTGCGACCTCATTTGCTGCTGCGTCCATCTTGCTGCTTGCTGCAGTGCGTCCCCACCTTGCATATCTGCAGCAGCAGCAGCAGCAGCACTAGACAAAGCCGGATGCTGCGGCTGACGCTGCAGCAGCAACAACTGCTCCTGCTGCTGTTGCAGCTGTATCTGGTGCTGCTGTGAGGCCTGCAGGGTCTCTCCTTGCCTCTCAGCTATTGCTGCAGCAGCAGATACTGGTGCTGCTGCTGGTGGGGGGGGTGGGGCATCAGCAGCACCTGCTGCTGCTGCTGCATGCACTACCCCTATCCATCCTTGAATAAACCTTATAGCCCTCTCTACATCCAGAGGCCTCTGTGTATCCAGTGGGTCTCCCTCAGGTGCAGCAGCAGCAGCAGACGCAGCAGCAGCAGCAGCAGCAGCATCACTATGAGGACCAGCAGCAGCAGCAGCTGCAGCAGCAGCTGCTGCTGCTGCCACCGCCGCTGCTGTAGTTGTTGCGCCGTGGCTCGATGCACTCCCTGATGCCTGCGGATGAGATATCAGCTGCAGCCGCTGCAGCTGCTGCAGCGGGAACTGCTGCTGCTGCTGCTGTTGTTGTTGTTGCTGCTGCTGCTGCTGAATGAATTGGGCGGGAGAAAGTGGTGGTGCTGCTGGTGGCTCCCACCGTACTGTAGACGGGCCCCCCACCTGCTGCTGTTCCTGCTGCTGCTGCTGTTGCTGCTGTTGCTGTTGCTGCAGTGGATTATCTCTATCTTCTTGCGGATTCCTACTAACTGGCTCATAGCCGAAGCACTCCTGCAGCAGCAACGTGCTGCTGCTACTGCTGCTGCTGCTGCCGGGGGCAGCAGCACGTTCGGACCTTGTTGCACCGGGGATTATAGAGAGCCTTCTAAGAGACCACATAGCAGCTTGTGGCTGCCGTAGCTGCTGCTGCTGCTGCTGCTGTTGCTGCTGCTGCTGCTGCTGCTGCTGTTGTTGTTGTTGCTGTTGCTGCTGCTGCTGGTGCTGTAAATGTCCGCGTGGGGAGGCATCGAAGTGAAGACCCATTGCTGCTGCAGCTTCGGCTTCCCTCTCCTCTGCTGCTCCTGCTGCTGGCTTTGCTGCTGCTGCTGGCGGTGCTGCTGTCTGCCATTGCATCCAGGGAAGCAGCTGGCTGCCTAGACCACCAGGAGGCAGAAATCGTGGGCTATCTTGCTGCTGTTGCTGTTGCTGCTGCTGCTGCTGCTGCTGCTGCTGCTGCTGCTGCAGTCCTCGCGGGCTTGCTGCTGGTAGGAAGGAAAACGGAGAGCCGTGAGAACCCCTGCTGTCTTTCCATCCAAGTCTCTGCCTCTGCTGCTGCTGCTGCTGCTGCCGCTGCTGCTGCTGCTGCTGTTGCTGCTGCTGCTGCTGCGGTTGTTGCTGCTGCTGCGATTGTTGTTGTTGCTGCTGCTGTTGTTGCCGATGCTGCTCCTGTTGCTGCTGTAATTGTGGTTGGCTGTCCTGTGAATGTGGCGGCCGTGACTGCTGTTGCTGCTGTCTTTGTTGCTGCTGTTGGCGCGGTTGCTGCTGCTGCTGCGGCTGCTGCTGCTGCGGCTGCGGCTGCGGCTGCTGCTGCGCAGCTGTTTGCCAGGTAGGTATCCTTGCTCCCCTGCTTGCAGGGATAACATTCATTCCTCTTGCTGCTCCTCTTCTGCTGCGGTAGTTAGATCGAGGCCTTCCTCGTGTCATATACTGCTGCTGCTGCTGCTGAGGTTGCGGATGAGGGAGGTACTGCTGTTGCTGCTGCTGCGGACGGTGATGCTGCTGCGGCTGTGGCGGCGGCGGTGGGGGAGGAGGCGCTGGTGGTGATCCTGCTGCTGCAGGCCCTGCTGCTGCAGCAGCAGCTTCCTTGCTGACCATAGGCAGGAACAGGGGAATAAAGCTAGTTGCCTGATGCCTGTCGCTTTGCTGCTGCTGTCGTTGCCGTTGTTGCTGCCGCTGCTGCGGCTGCTGCTGCTGCTGCGGTTGCTGTTGCTGCAGCGAGGGCACCGGTCCTGGTATGGATGCTGCTGCTGCGCTTCTAGGCGCGCCAGCAGCATCTTTCTTTGACAAGCCCGCAGCAGCAACTGCAGGAGCAGCAGGTGAAGCAGAAGGAGGCGCAGCAGCAGGAGGCGCAGCAGCAGGAGGCGCAGCAGCAGGAAGCGCAGCAGCAGGAGGTGCAGCAGCAGGAGGGGAAGCAGCGGTTGGCCCAGCAGCAAGAAGGGAAGCAGCGGTAGGCCCAGCAACAGGAGATGCAGCAGCGGTTGGCGCAGGAGCATGAGGTGCAAGAGTAGGCGATGCAGCAGCATGAGGTGCAGCAGCAGGAGGTGCAGCAGCAGGAGGTGCAGCAGCGGTTGAAGCGGCAGCAGGAGGTACAGCAGCAGCAGCAGAATGTGTAGCAGCACCGGTACTGACTGGAGCAGCAGCAGCAGGATTCGTCCGAACAGCAGAAGCAGCAGCAGCAGGCGATGCTTTAGCAGCAGCAGCAGGAGGTGCCGCAGCAGCAGGAGCAGGAGATGCTGCTGCACCAGCAGCAGGCGATGCTGCAACAGCAGCAGCAGCAGCAAATGCGCTGCCTGCTGGACCTGTCGAGGAGATGACGATGGAATATCGTTGTGGGTGTTGCTGCTGTTGCTGCTGTTGCTGCTGTTGTGGCTGCTGCTGCGGCTTCTGCTGTTCTTGCTGCTGTTGCTGCTGTTGAGGCTGCTGCTGTGGCTTCTGCTGTTCTTGCTGCTGTTGCTGCTGTTGTGGCTTCTGTTGTGGCTTCTGCTGTTCTTGCTGCTCTTGCTGCTGTTGTTGCTGCAGCTGGGGCTGCTTTGGCTGCTGCGATGGCTGCTGCTGTGGCTGCTGCTGTGGCTGCTGCTGTGGCTGCTGCTTTGGCTGCTGTTGTTGCTGCTGCTGTGGCTGCTGCTGTGGCTGCTGCTGTGGCTGCTGCTGTGGCTGCGGCTGAGTGTGTTGCTGTTGCTGTTGCTGTTGCTGTTGCTGTTGCTGCGGCTGTGGCTGCTGCTGTTGCTGTTGCTGCTGCTGTTGCTTCGGGTGTAGCTGCTGCTGTGGATGGTGCTGTTGCTGCTGCTGTATGTGCTGCTGTTGCTGCTGCTGTTGTTGCTGCTGTTGCTGCAGCTGTGACGGCTGCTGTGACGGCTGCTGTTGCTGTTGCCGTGGTTGTTGCTGCTGCTGCTGCTGTTGCTGTTGCTGTGGCTGTTGGGCCTGCTGCTGCTGTTGCTGCCTTTGCTGTTGCTGCTGCTCGTAGCGTTGCTGCTGCCCAGCAGCGGGAACGGCTGATGCTGCCACTCCCTGCCGGATAATAACTCTTTCACTTGGGGTTTTTGCTGCTGCTGTTGCTGCAGCTGCAGCTGTTGCTGCTGCTGCTGTTGCTGCAGCTGCTGCTGGCTGTTCGTGTGCTGCGCCTGACGGCACCTGCCCTTGCTGCAGCAACAGCTGCTGCTGCTGCTGCTGCTGCTGTTGCTGACGGCGCTGCCGTGCGGTGGCATATCTACCTCTGCCTCGCCATCGCCCTCTGCTGCTGCTGCTGCTTGTGCTGCTGCTGTATAGTATTGCCGCTGCAGCAGACGAGGGAGCAGGCACTGCTGGAGTTACAGCAGGTCCAGCAACACCAGCAGTGGGGGCAGCAGCAGCAGCAGCAGGAAGAAGGTGTCCTCTTGTTTGATCTGCAGCAAGGAGAGATATAGAGGCGGGAGGGCGTGATGGTGCAGCAGCAGTTGCTGCTGCAGGAGGTCCTGCTGCTGCTATCGGTGCAGTTGCTGCTGCTGCTGCTGCTGCTGCTGATCGCGGTCTTCTTGCCGGTGCTGGTGCTGCTGTTACGTTTGGTACTACTGGTGTTCTCGCTGCAGCAGCAACAGCAGTTGGTGCTGCTGCTGCTGTTGTTGCTGCTGTTGTTGCTGCTGTTGGTGCCGCTGTTTGTGTCTGCTGCCCTTGCAAGGCCGCTGAGGTGGCAGCAACATTTTGTGGGGCAGCACGACCTGTACCAGCAGCTGCTGCTCCTGCTGCTCCTGCTGTTCCTACTGCTGCTGCTGTTGCTGCTGCTGCTGCTGACCTTGAGTGCTCCCGCTCGGCTGCTGCAGCACTCCCCCTGCCGCCGCCCCGGCGGGGCCTGTGTCCCTCAGACATCAGGAGAAGTGCAGATTTGCTGCTGCTGCTGCTGCTGTTGCTGTTGCTGCTGCTGCTGCTGCCGCTGGTACCTTTGCTGCTGAGGCTGCAAATCCTCGCGTCGGCAGCAGCAGCAGAAGCAGCAGCAGCATCCTTTTTGCTCCTTGTGGGTTTGTGCTAGGGTTTAGGGTTTATCCTTAGTTATAAGGTCTATGGTGACATAAGCCATACAATAGATGCAGCACAATGCGTTCTGCTGCTGCTGCTGCTGCTGCTGCTTTTGCTGCTGCTGGAGCTGCAGCAGCAGCAGCAGCATCTGCTGCCGCCAGCCTACCCTCTAGGCGGCCGACTGCACTTCAGTAGGAAGGAGACAGCTTGCAACCTCCTACACAGAGGAGAAGGTAGGCAGTCCTTTGCTGCTGTTGCTGGTGCTGCTGCTGCTGTTGCTGCTGCTGTTGCTGCTGCTAGCAATGATGCTGATGTTGCTGCTGTTGCCGTTGCTGCTGCTGGCGTTGCTGCTACAACCACTTATGTGGCTGCTCCCGCTATTTGTCCCCTTGTGGCTTCTGCTGCTGCTGCTGCAGCCGCTTCTCTTCCTGCATACACCCGACCCGCTAGGGTTTAGGGTTTAGGGTTTAGGGTTTGGAGCTGCAAATGGCGGAGTTGTGTGCTAGGGTTTGCACGAGCAGACAAGGGAACAATCGAGGGAAGAGAAAGAGCAGCAAAAGGGACAGGGGTTTGCTGCTACGCTACTGCGTATATACACCTCATGCTCACCTGCTGCTGCAAGGCGCAGCAGCAGCAGCGAGCATCAGTAGCAGCAGCAGCAAACTGCTGCTGCCACAACCCACAGCAGCGCAGCGGGGACTAATTGGAGATAAATCTAGATTTCTATTTTGCCACTTTTCTCCTTTTTTGCCCCACACACAGCAGTGCTTGCTGCTGCTGCCCGCCAGCAGCAGCAGCAGCAGCTGCTGCTGCTGTTGCTGCTGCTGCTGCTGCTGCAGACCAGGGCTATATTCGCTGCTGCATCTTTCATTACATCTTTGAAACTCCTTGAGCTTTGTTTTTTTATTTACTAAAGATTTATTTACTAAAAGTGTTGCAAACATTGGACTCTCCCCAAACCCTAAACCCTAAACCCTAAACCCTAAACCCTAGCTGTCCCACGAGCGGTTCCCTCGGGCACCACTCTACTTGCGCCTTTGAAACAAAAGGGTTTATGAGTTTGTTGCAGTTAATTTGTTTTGTTTTCTAAATTAAAGTTATTTGCTGCTCCTTTTTGCTGCTGTTGCTGCTGCTGCTGCTCTTTTTTGCGGCGGTTTCTGCTGCTTTTCTTTGTTCCCGTCGCTGCTGCAGCGGTGACCCTGGATGGGGGCCCTCTTTGCGAGGGTTTTCTTTGTCATTATTTATATTTTTATTCTTTGTATATTTATTTAATTATATTTTATTTATTATTTTTTAATTAAAAATTTACAACAGCATCTAACGCATGCGCGCGCCTCCATTTCTATATCTGCTCTCCTTGCTGCTGCTGAGACAGTTGCTCACGAAACCCTAAACCCTAAACCCTAAACCCTAAACCCTAAACCCTAAACCCTGAAGCACCGCATTATACAGCTTTAAGCCCCAATGGAACAACCCCTATGCCTTCCTAAACCCTCAGGCATCCTTCGCTTAACCTACCACGAAGAAACCCCCCAAAACCCTAAACCCTAAACCGTAAACACTAACGAGCAACCTCCAATTATACGGATTAAATAAACCTTCAATAGACTCCTGCCTCTTAGCTCATCGAGCAGTTCTGCCTGCACAGAAGGAAACGTACAAGTGCCATTAGCGTTTAGGGTTTAGGGTTTAGGGTTTAGGGTTTATGATGGGGTTATAGGGGCTGTGTCTAGAACCACAGAAAAACAACAAGAACAGCAGCAGCAACAGCAGCAACAGCAGCAACAGCAGCAACAGCAGCAACAGCAGCAGCAGCAGCAGCTTACAGAAATATGTATCAAAATGTTCAACACCAATAGCCTTTCTATATAATTCTTTATTTCTGTATTCTTCTCTTTCTTTTTGTTCTTTTGCTAATTTTTTATTTTCTTCTGCTATTTCTGTTGCTCTTTTTCTTCTTTGCTTATTCCTTTCTATATAACATACAAACATCACATCTCCTGCTGCTGCTGCTGCTGCTTCTGCTGCTGCTGCTCCTGTTGCTGCTGTTTCTGCCGCTGCTTGTTGGTGTGCTCTGGGCTTCGGGGGCTCGTAGCGGCACAGAGAAAGGGTTTAGGGTTTAGGGTTTAGGGTTTAGGGTTGACTTACCTTCCTCAAGCGAAACACTTATGCGGCGTTGAGACTCGAAGAATCTGCAGAGCAAGAAGAGGGGGACTTCCATTGATAGACTCTAGGGTTTAGGGTTTAGGGTTTAGGGTTTAGGGTTTATCGTACTCATCACATTGTTGTTGTTCTTCCCATTGTTTTATTTTTTCTCCTTCTTTTTCTTTCCTTATTTCTTCGTTCTTATCATCTGCTGCTTCTTTTATTGCTAAACAATATCCTTTAAATCCATCTCTGTTACCACCCATACCTGATATATAAAACCCTAAACCCTAAACCCTAAACCCTAAACCCTAAACCCTAAACCCTAAACCCTAAACCCTAAACCCTTGATCTGCAATCTCAACGCAGGAGGGCTGAAACCCTCATAATAATAAAACAGCAAGTCATAAACCCCAGCATATATAGCAACTACACACACACAGAGCACGCACTTATTTCTTCTAGGGTTTAGGGTTTAGGGTTTAGGGTTTGGTGCTCCACTTACATCCTGTAGCAACACGAGGGAGCCACGGGCTTAGCGAGCTGTCGCCCTTGACGAGATCTTGGCGACCCTCTGCTAGGAACGGGTCCTACACACAGCCTAAACCCTAAACCCTAAACCCTAAACCCTAAACCCTAGATACACTGATGGTGTAGTCGTAGGCAGGAGAGGCAGAATCCTACTGTAGAAATACAGCCCTTAGATACTAGGGTTTAGGGTTTAGGGTTTAGGGTTTGGAGTGTACGTGCAGCTTCATATCAATTTCTCTTTTCTCTATTTGCCTCTCGTGTTCCCTCCATTCCTCTTCTCTCCTTTTCCTTTCTTCTGCCTAAGGAGCAGCAAATCCAATAGCTTAATTCAAGGGTTTAGGGTTTAGGGTTTAGAGATTAGGATTTAGGGTTTAGGGTTTAGGGTTTAGACGGACGCACCATTCGCACGTTGTTCTGTGCCGTCTCAAGTCTGCGCTGCGCTTCGTCCTTCATCTACAGCAAGTACAGGGAATCCACACAAAACCCTAAACCCTAAACCCTAAACCCTAGAGACTAAACCCTAAACCCTAAACCCTAAATAATAACGGAGGAGGGAGTCTGTTATACTTTCTGCTGGCACATTGCTTCCTGCACTCTGCAGCTTTGTGTAGCAAAGTCTACGAAATTCCTGAGGAACAACAAAAACCCTAAACCCTAAACCCTAAACCCTAAACCCCAGACGTTAGATTCTCAGCCCAACAAGATAAATCGTGTGCATTATCGCCCCCCAACACGGCAGTATTTCTCTGTGTGTGGCTTTAGGGTTTAGGGTTTAGGGTTTTTCGCGTTGTGGGCATATCTCTTAGGGTTTAGGGTTTAGGGTTTAGGGTTTGTACTGTTCTCTTTCTTTTTCTTGCATATCAATTAGAGCCTGCTGGAATAAATGTTCTTGGATGGCGTTGCGCTGCTGCTGCTGCTGCTGCTGCATGCGCTCATGGTAGCCAGCGTCTTCTCCTTCAAAGAAAAGGAGGCTGCTTACTCCTGCAGCAGCTCGTGCTGCCTGCACGGTGGACGCAGCAGCAGCAGCAGCAGCAGCAGCAGCAGCAGTAGCAGCAGCAAGTGGCTCTTCTTCTCTCCGACCGCATCTTTATACCTAAACCCCTAACCCTACAAGGCTTGGAGTTCATGATGTATTAAACAGAAAACAATAATTAGGGTTTAGGGTTTAGGGTTTAGGGTTTAGGGTTTAGACGCACCTCTGCAGTAATAGACCTCTCTGTCTCTGCATCAAATTCTTCTCTTAATTGTCTCCTTCTGTATTAAATAATTAATTAATAAATAATTATTAATTAATTATTAATTATTAATTAGTTAGCAATTAATAATTAATTAATAATTAATTAATAATTAATTAATAATTATACAGAAATTAATTAATAATTAAGTAGTATTTTTCCCCCTTTTTGTCTACCTATACACACCAAATAAATAAATAAATAAATAAATAAACAAATAAAATAAATAAATAAATAAATAAATAAATAAATAAATAAATAAATTTACCTAGCAGCATTAAGATTTTCTTGTTGAATTTTTTGCAATTTTTCTTTTTTTTTATTTTTATATTCAATTTGTTGTATTTCTTGTACTGCTGCATTATATAATACTTCCTTTTCTTTTTTTTTTTTTTTTT